CATTTCTTGTTATATTTTTGTAGAAATAAATTATTTCTAACAAACTAATCTATTACTTACAAAAATAAACCAAGAAAAATAATCTATTTAATTTATTAGATACCATATGAATAAATAAATTATTACAACCAATTTTTAATAAAACAACCAACACAATGTTGGAGGAAATAGGGTTTATGTTGGAGATCTAGATACCCCTTGGATCATGTGAACACTTTCCAAACTGATATTTCTACCATATCCCTGGGTTGCAAGAAATTCAGCATAGGATAATCCAAGAGGGCACTTACGAATCTAGGCACATAAGTCGTAATCCAAATTGCTAGAAGGATTTTGTGTTTGTTTGAAGAAAAGAGAGCTAAAGTGTTTCGTGTCTCTCTTCTCAACGAGAAGAGCCGTTTATATAATAAACGAGATTAGGGTTTCATTAGGGTTGGCCGTCATGGGTTGCTTTAGAAGCAAGTCAAGGAAATCTGGATTTTAATGAGGAAATAGGGTTTCCAAAACTAACGAATTTTGTTAGTTTTACCATAATCACCCTCACGAATTTGAATTTCCCACAATGGTCGTATATGTAAAATTTAGAGACCTTTTGGGGCACTGCCCCTCGACCCCGCCCGCTGACCTGGCAACGGTACCCCAGCCAGGGGCTCTGCCCCTTGGACCCGCTAGGGGCGCTGCCCCTATACCCCGCCAAAGGGGCACCACCCCTTTGGAAACCTCGGACACAGGGGCGCTGCCCCCGGACCCCTGACTTGTCGTCGAACCGACTTCTAATTCGCTCTTATATATGTTTGCACTCCGCACAAAACTGTACATATATTAGAGTACAAATTATGAAGCCCCTTAGCTCACATGTTAGTTCCAGTCACATAAAATGACATAGTGACACTAAAATCACCAACACACAATGGTACTTGGCTAGTTTGTGCACATCATACATATCAACATACACATTAAACAACCTTTGTTTTTCTAATACAACTTTAAAATGACAAAAGATGCATGAAAACTTTTGTCACATAAAATAACAATTATAAAGTTGTCATAGAAAATATATATGAACTTGTTTTTATACAAAACCAACTAATCCATATTCTCCAAAAATCTAAGATTTCCAAAAATCAAAAAATCTAACCAAACTTGCAAGGTGGCTCTTGATACCAATTGTTAGGTTTTTATTCAAAAACTAGTTTCAAAAACATAATATTTAGCAACGGAAGATTTGATCATTTTTTGAATTAAATAAACAAGTTAAACCCACCAATGATCATCCTGCAAGTTGTAGAAAGATTTAAACACCAACCAAAGAAGAAGATGGATAAAAATACAACATTTGTAGTTTTTTGGATCCTCTTGGGAGGCTTGGAAGTTGATGGAGAATGAGGAACTTTTGAGACACCAACAAGTTACCAACTTAATGTAGGATGCTAGTCCTTTTGATGAACTCTTAAGCTTGGAAGCAAATACGCAAGTATTTGATCCAAGAGAGCAAAATTCAAGTAATCTTCAAGACTTTTAAGGAAAAGAGAGAAAAACACACATGCACAAGCATGTTACGGTTTTCATACATGAAGTGTAAAGAATGAAAGCCTTTTTCTCATTTATATAACATACACAATATTCATGAGTCTTTAACCATTAAGCACCCATGCTTCTACTAGCTAGATTTGTCCCCCATGCTTTTTAAGACAAGTCATACCTTTTTATTTAAATAATCAAAATGCATGTCTTCCTTTTGTCTAGACAAATTTGGAAAATAGGAACAAAGAAGAGGACAAAAGCTTTTATATTTTATAATACAAGTTTATAAAATATAAACTTTAACTTTTTGGTAAAAGACAAATGAATTTATCTAGTCCAAAATGTTGTGCATGACTTATTAGTTCATACCATATGAATTATGTAATGTTACTTGCTAATGAAAATTATTATTCGTAGAAATAAATAATTTCCAATTTAATTATAAAAGTTTATTGAATATTTATTAAAATCAATTTCTAATAAATAATCAACTGTATCAAGTTGTTGTTAGTGTGACCATTTAGTATCATATGTTAATTTGCAATATCACTTTAATATGATTCTTGAGCATACTAGATCTTTCATCTTATTAATTCATATAAAGATTACAATGGTTGACCAAAGTGATTACAGACTATGACTTAATCTATTAGGAAACGTGGGCGTTACACATTTTTGTTTTGAAAGGATGAAGATGAACTGAAATAGATGTAGATCAACATGTTGGAGGAACAAAAAATGTTTGGTAAACATATCTTGAAGCCAACCGAACAAGGAAAGAAACTTCACATGAAGATAAAACTAGGCATGTTATTTGGGTTTGTTTATGGATATGGGTTCATGATGATGGTTAATCGTCTAATTTAGGAATGGTTGTAGGGTCTATGTTTGTATAGTTTTTGGATGTTTTTTGATGGTGTAATGTGGGTAGTTGATAGATGGTTATGGGTAGTGTTTGCATAGTTTTTGGATGTCTTTTGTATAACTTGTTGCAATATGACAAATGAACATGGGTAAGGTCATAATGATTGACCTTTTGTATACCTGATTTAAATGCAACTTTTGTGGTTGCTTTACTTGCTGCCCATAACATGTTCTTAAAAGTGGGAAACAAGAAAATCTTTTATTAAAGTTGGAAAAGATGCATGTGCTCAGAATGAGGCAGTAAGTCCTTGACAACCTCCAATACAAACATGAAGTTAATAACAATTATACAATATTAAAAACATGTCAAATAACATAGTACCTTGTATTGATCAGACATTAGTGTTAATCCTTGTCCATTATCTATATAAAGATCATCATTTAGTTAATCCAAAAACCATTTTTAGTTCTCTTTGTTTTCTACACAAACAACATACCATACAATTGGTAACCCTCCCTACAAAAACAAGTAATTCCACGTTGCAATTTCCATTGAGAAAACATCCATTTATCCCTATTACTCTTCTACAACCATCAATCCAATCTTTTTCAAACCAACAAAACATACTTAGAATTTACCGAAGTAATTGGTACCATTTAACATTGGGTTAACATCCATTTTGACAGTGGAACCAATGTTTGATCTTCTTATTTCCTCCGTATAGGACCACAGTCTAGCATAGTGTTCCACAATGTCACCTTCAGTTAGAGTCAAAGCATGGTTCATTTCCCGTTTGCATTGCCCAACACTAACCTCTATTCTAATTTTTTTTTCATAACATCAATTTTAAGTTATCTATGACTTAGTTTCTACCTATGCATAATATAATTTGTGAAATGACGTCTAATCCAGGAATAAGTTACAATTGACCCCCATCTTCAAATTCATAGCACAATATTGATCATGCTTCAGTGATTTAATTTGGAAAGACTATTCATCATACATCCATGATGCCCAAAGTATGAATGAACAATTTCCATCACATATCATTTTTCTTAAAAAAATGGATATCCACTAGTAACTACATAATTACATAACACGTTCTTCAATTGCTTTGGATTCTTAGATCTCATTCCAATAATTTTTTTCTATTTTTTCCATGGAATTTCCTTATTAAATGTGCAATGTACCTTACCCGCAAGGTTATTCTCACATTCCTCATCAATGCAAATATCATCAACTACTTACATTATGTGTATTAGCTTTTACTTCAGCTTCCTTATCAATAAATAACTTACTCAAAAAAATCATTCATAGTCTTGTTTATTTCATAATTCCTTCATCCAAGTCAAATGAGAAATTGTCTATGTTTATGTCATCTTTTTTCGGACCACAAATACCTGATTCCACCTCATCAGGACTAACTACTTCATTTTCACTAGATTCTAACCAATCGTATAAATCGTCACCAAAGTGGTCAATGAATAGTGAAGTACCTCCTCCCCCACTGCATGAAATATCTATGCACTTGATATAGTCTACATCGCATTTTGTATGCCGAATACCAAAATGAATGGGTTTGTTAAGGAGACAGTAGTACATTTTTGCAAAACGCTCATCCAAGAAACGTTCAAGAAAAGTAACAAAGTCAATATAATTCATACCAACAAAATCGTGGTCGGTAAATACGAATTTCTTGCCTTTAGCATACTTGAACGAACATCGAATAAAATACCCGTCAAATGTAGGTTAATTTTCAGATACTAAGGATGTCCTTGATCATCTGCCACCGTATAAGATAACTGAAATAATTTTCCTTTACACAAAATAATAAGCAAATCTATTTGAATATCTATGCACTTGACATAGTCTACATCACATTTTGTATGCCGAATACCAAAATGAAAGGGTTTGTCAGGGAGACAGTAGTACATTTTTGCAAAACGCTCATCCAAGAAACGTTCAAGAAAAGTAACAAAGTCAATATAATTCATACCAACAAAATTGTGGTCGGTAAATACGAATTTCTTGCCTTTAGCATACTTGAACGAACATCGAATAAAATACCCGTCAAATGTAGGTCAAATTTCAAATACTAAGGATGTCCTTGATCATCTGCCAGCGTATAAGATAACTGAAATATTTTTTCTACATAAGTGAATCATTTTTTTTTACTTTAGATATAACCCTAGATGCAAATGCAAATCAATGTTTGTAAATGAGTACTCATAAATGAGAGGGCAATCGATTTTGACTCTCATACTGACTTCACTTAACACGTCAATTCACATGCTATGTATGTTTTATAACGGACAACCCAATTGAATAGATGATATTTCCTTATTTAACCCATTATTTGAAAATTTAAGAATCTATATTCTAGAACATTTAAAAAAATGAATAGTGACCTTTTAAAACCAAAATTAAAAGTTAGCGGATGAATTAACGACAATAACCCATATTAAATATGGCATATTTTATTCAATAACTCAAATTAATAGGCCAATAACTCTTAAAAATAATTAACTAGAATAATAAGCTACAAGTTTTTTAAAAAGAATCCCCTCCCACCATAAATCCGCTCAATTTGAATACTGTAGAGAGCGCAATCATTATAATCGAACATGGCCATTAATGGAGGTAGAGTAAACCCCCCTTCTCACACAAACAAACAAACACAGATTTCGTTTGTTTTTTGTCATCATTTGAACTCTCTTCTTTTTGAATTTGCTTGCCATTCACTCATTATTCGTCACAGTATCATTCCTTCTCCTTTCTTGTACACATCAAACTGATTTGATGTTTTGACTCGTCCAATCAAAACTACCATACTTTTGGATCTGATTGGCGCGCTTAATTGATTTCGTATACTGTTGGTAGAATCGTATCAATTTGGACCTGAGATTCGATTGCAATATGTGATTCCAACGTAAATTTGGCAATTTGTGATTCGAGAAACGATTATCGTGGACCATAAGTTAGGGTTTACATGAAGCTACGAATGTAGAAGTATATGCAAATGCAACAGCAGCTGCAATCGAGTACTGATACAGCTGAAGTTTGGAAGGAGAGGTGTGATCATATGTATCAGCTGCGGCGGCCTGAGCCGGAGATGGAGCCAAAGAGTCGGAAAGTTCCGGTGATTTACTATCTCTGCCGAAATCGACAACTTGAGCATCCACACTTCATTGAAGTCCCTCTCGTTTCACCAAATGGCCTTTACTTGAGAGGTGCATACTTTCTTACAGTTTGAATCAGCATTCTGCATTTCAAACAGCTTCATCACGATTTGTTTTCGTAAATTTTCTGTTGCAGATGTAATTGAAAAATTCGATGCTCTGAGAGGGAAAGGCATGTCTTCAATGTATTCATGGTCTTCCAAAAGGTTAAATCATGTTATCCTGCTTGTAAAATTCGCGATTCCTTATCATATTCGTGTAGCTGGATAGATCATGTTCTTCTTGATGATGCAGAAACTACAAGAATGCATTTGTGTGGAATGATCTTAGTGAAGATGACTTGATTTTTCCCGCTCATGGTAACGAATACGTTCTCAAAGGCTCCGAACTTATTAGGGAAGAAAACAATCCAGGTGAAAAATAGTTCAACATTCGTTTGTTAATCAATCAATCGATCATACACTTCAATAACACTAACGTTGAAATCACATATCGTTCCCAGGTCGTTTTGCTCCTAAATTGCAAAATTCAAAACAAGATGACTGTTCATCTTCAACAAAATACAAGATCTACAAGAGTCATGATATTACTGATGCTTCAACTCAAACGGATGAATTCGTAAAAGTTCAAAAACCTCAAGAAATTTTCACAAGAAGCATAGAGTCATTAATCAATGACTCTCCTCTTAAACATATCCAGACACATTCATCCCCTCCATCTTCTTCCTGTTCATCTGCCGGAAAGGCCGACACCTTGGAATCTCTGATCAGAGCCGATGTAAATAAGCTTTACAGCTCCGTCAAACTTGAAGAAGAACAACAGAGTCAAATCCCGGTCAACACAAAGCTTAGAGCTTCGAATAAGCTCCTGCAACTAATCTCCTGTGGGACACTTTCATCAGAAGACGACAACTTTTGCAGAATCTCATCTTTCAGATCGAGGTCATTAGATTCAAAGTATCGATCTGGTTTACTCTCATCATCTGTAATGTTGGGGGAGCTTGAGTGTTCATCAGAAAATAAGGATTACTTATTGCTCAAGAAAGAAGCCATGGGTTGCCTAAAACGATCTTCTTCCTACGCTGCTAACAGGTATGTCTTGTGTACACATTACTTTTATCAAATCCTTCTCCATTTTTACACAAGTTTCCGGAATTCAGGATCAATAAGAGAGATTCATTTCTAACAAGGACAAAATGCAAGAAACAATCCAAGAGAATGGAATCATTCAGAGAGAATAAAGAGAATGTCATCAAAATCGAAGAAAGTTAAGTTCTAATTTTTGTTTTAATTCAACAAAAACTATGTTCATGTTGTTGAAAACTTGAATTTGTATTTGATTTCTTTCTAACAGGCTTGCTTCAGGAGCTCGAGTCATCATAACTTCATAAGCACCTTATGATAACAAAGGTTAGTAATTGTATGGCTATTATTCAAGATGGAATAATTGTTTTGGTTTCATTGGGGGTATTTTGGCAAATTGGTTCTTCATATTTGAAAGAGAAAGTGAGCCAAAGTACACTTCAGTGATGGGTTCATGTACACAAATAGGGTCACCTCTGTTTTTGGGTCTTTCTTTGCATTTTACAACAATGGAATAAAATGATTTTTGTTCCATTATGGCATATGATTTATTTTTAATATATGTAATATTTTATGATATATCAAATCAAATAACATAAAGGAACTTGAATAATGAATAGTACTTTTGCCTATGAAGTAGCATTGACTATGTGTGTACTTTAGACTGAATGCAACTTGTACTATGTGGGGGGTGACAAGCGAATAAACCATCCTAATTATTTTGTACTTCTTACACATGATTGCCTTTTTTTGCTAAAAAAAAAACTCTTTGTAACATTTTATTATATAACATCTTTTAAAGCACGTATATTTGACTTAATTACAATCCTCCTCAGAAGCCGAAGGTGTGCATTCAGATGAAGGAGCTCCTCTTATTTGTCTTGTATTGTAACAATTACACTTTTCACATTTATGCCCCACTATGTGAAATTGCACTCTTGATATCTTCTCACAATCATTGCATAATATCCACACCTATTTCATAAACAACCACAACACCCCATTTCAATTTTAGTTTTTTATCCAATTTTTTTATCTAAATGAATATATATAAAAAAAACAAGTCGCTTTTATACTTACCATTTTGTTTCTATACGACTGGGGCATAGGTGTCACTTCAACCTAGTTAACAGTAACAAACGTTATGATTTTTTTTTAAAAAAAAAAATTTAGTTGCTAAAAATGGTAAGAAAAAAAGGCTACCTCATGATCAAGCTTTCTCCAAACATCTGATAAATCACATACAGATTTTGAGCAAACAGGGCAAGAATACCGATGATGTTGTTCCATTTCTTTTAAGCAATCCAAATGCATTGTATGCCCACATTGTAAAATTGTAAGATCCTTTAATGTGTCAAACAAGAACTGCATACAAAAAATAAAAAAGTCAATCTTTTCACTCTCAAAAGTCAAAATCAAGAAAAAATTTCTAACTTTGATTACAATTAGTTGAATCATGTTTAGTTATACCTCAGAGCAAATCGGACAATCGTGATGCATTGCCCTTTCTACACACACGTGTGTGTCTTTTATCACTTTTGAATAACAACATCCTACAAATATTTATCATAAGATTCATCAATACTTTATGAACACAAAAAATAAGGTTTTCAAGATGTTTATATATATATATATATATATATATATATATATATATATATATATATATATATATATATATATATATATATATATATATATATTTACCACATTTGTCACAGTGAAAGAAATTCTCCTGTCCACCTGTTCTACATATGCCACATTGATCACAATGGTATTGATTCTTGGAAACCTGAAAATTGATTACAAACATGTTTGTAGCAAATTAGATAAATAAAGAACTATAAATGATAAATCCATATTTGGAAAACAATCTTGAAGCTTACGTCATCATCGAAGAATTTACATTTCTCACAGAAGTATTTCCCCATGCATACTCCACAATTGATGCAATTTTGTTGAACCTGAATTTTTTTTTGATGTTAAAACATAATTTTTTGTTATTGTGATGAATAGTAAAAGACTTACATCTTGTTCGGTTTCGCATAGAGAACATATAACCTAAAAACAATAAAATGAAAATTTGGATTAGAATTGTAACATGATAAAGCTTGAATGAAAACTCAACAAAAAAACTTACCTTCTTAACTTCATGTCGAGGAAGATCATGGCGAAAAACTGGATCTATGTCAATGGAATTCTGGTTTATCAAATGAAGTAGAAAGTTAGGAACTAATTAAATTCATGATTATCTAAATTATGTACAACCAAATCATGAAAAATATACCTTGGATTCGTTATGGCAATGGCGACAATTGAAAATTTCATCACAACATGGTGCCTTGATCTTGCATTTCCTCCTGTAATGTGAGCAACTAAAAAAAAAAAAAAAAAAAAGATCATGAATCCCTAATGAATTTTTGTTTTCTTTTTTCTGTTTAGTTTAAATTTGAATGAAAGTGAAAGAAGGAACATATTTCATATTAACATACCCTAAATTGCCTCCTTCAACCTCCATCAAAGACGCTTGAGACTCCATTTCAGAGTTCCTTTTCTTCTTCTCTTTCAATTCTACCTGTTTTTCCATGTATACATTCATATTTCGCTTCAAATTTCAAAACAGATGACTAATTCACTACGAAAAAAATTACTAATCACAAAATTAACAAAAAAATTGAAAACTTCAAGGCGAATTCACAATCCCTAAACAAAACTTACAGCCGATAAGAACACGATGTTCAGATCTTAACACAGAACCACACGAACAAGTGTAGAAACAGCTTTGATTTATGTTAAAAACATTCACCTCAAAAACACGAAAGCTGAATCGAGTAATACAGATAGAATTAGGTGTTGCAATATCGATGTTTAAGATCTTTAAACAAACTAAATCGGTGATATACAGCTCGAAATTAGGTGTTTGATGTGTGTAATCAATGAATGTAAATGATCATTATAAAGCTGGAAATTTTTAAGCATTGATCAATGTAGGCGGTTACATACCTGATTTAGAAGAAATGGAAGCGATAAGCGAAATACGATGCGGTGATCTGTTGCTTGTTGAAGTTATGTTTTAGTGAATGGAATTTGAACAAGATAAAACGATAGACGGCATTGAAAAGTGCATGATTGCGTTTTATAAAGAAAAATAATATATATACAAAAAATCTCTAGTCCCATCACATGATCAAATGTTTGGCTTTGAAATCCCACTCGTTTATTTTTTGGCTGTGTTTACACGCACTATATTTTTTTAGGGTTAATTGTATCTATGTATTTGATTTTAGATTTACTGCCTAAACGGAATTAACGTGGGTGCAAATTGAGATTTAAACTGTGATAATATACGTTACGTGGTACGAAGTATATTTAAATATAAGACGGGTTTGATCTTAGATATAACAAAAAAATAGGTCAAGGGGGTCATGTCCGGGTTTAAAAGACAGAGCCCGTGGTTGTGGCCCCACTTATTTTGGATATGCTTTGGGTCGTATTAGGAAAAGGCATAATCATGGTTAAGCAATAAGGGGAAAAGATATGTTTCGGGTTTGGTCACGAACAACTTATGTTACTTGGCATCTCGAGTTGTCTGGCACTTGGAAGCAATGACGCCTTACAACTTTTTGGTCGATTCTTTAAGGCAGTTAGAGCTGGCTGACGGTTATTTTCAGAAACCGATTTTAACTGCAAAAAATTGTCATTTTCGTATATCTTATCGTATTTTTGGATGTATGAGTATACCATATATATACTTGTAAATCACAACTTTTGGAAACTTTGAAGGTCTTAAATATTTCATATTCTCTCATAACGTTGTTTTCATTTTGTACATAAATATGAAAATGTCCTTGAGGATTAATGCATATTAAATTTCTCACTCAAATATATGATAGAAATATCAATATAAAACTGAACTTACATGATCATCGTGATATAAAACTCCCTTCGCTATTCTATTCTAGTAACAGAAGAGTCGAAGTTCCAAACATAATATAATTCGATAAGATAAAACAACGGAAAAATAACAATTCTATAGATTTAACGATTTGATTGTTACATTAAGTGATTTAACATTTATGTCCTAAAACTAAACAAAATAAGGCCATAAAAATAAAAATACAACAAAAATTCCTTTTTAAATCATATCCGGAGTGATAAATTTGGAATTTTATCATAAAAGATACAGTCAAACATAGAGAATTGTTTTTATACCCTGTGATGATTGAGTGCATTCTATCATCATAAAACTTAATAAAAATAGGGATAATGTTATAAAAAGCCTTAAGTTTGGCCGCAAATGTCGGTTTTACCTTCCGACGGATTTTTGGTTTGTTTATGCCGCAAACTTGCTATTTTTTGTCGGTAATAATAGGTTTTCAGGTTACCATGAAATATTATTTGCAAAAAAGTACATAAATTTACAAATATTTTGCAAAAAAAAACCCTTAAGATTTTAAATCTTAATAATGGTCTGGAATATGTTATTAAGGATTCTCGAATTCGTATTGATGAACACGAAGTGACATTGCTTCTTATAAAGACCAATTGAATAAAATCCTTCTTAGTAATGTTAATATATTTCGGTAAAGAGTTGTCTTGGGCCGTTTTCCTACCAAAATAAACTTGTATAACTATTGTATTGTCATTCCTTGTTTCTTATGCTGAAAGGAGTCGAAGTGCCAAACAAACTCGCCATGGTCGCTAACTCATTTGGAACACCGCCCCCTAGCCCTCGCTAGGGGGCTCGCCATGGATCATTCGCTGCCAGCTTAACGAGATGTGAGAGAGTATTAGTTTGGCTTGTGATTGGATGAAGGGTATTTGACCGGATTGCATGCCCATTCCTCCGTTTTTGGCAGATGGGAGGTGTCGAAGCTTTGATTTTTGTTGCTAAAACTTGAGTTTTGCAGATTGGGAAAGAGAATTGGGGAAGAAGATAAAGAATTTACATATTTGGTCCCCAAAGTTTCTATAACTTGGTATTTTTTGTCCCAAAATTTAAACAACTTGGTATTTTTTGTCCAAAAACATAAACCTTTTTATTTAGATTATGTTTTAAATTATAGTAATCTTTTTTATTTAAATATTAAGTGCTTGTATTTAAAAAATAGAATTTTTGTAATATTAAATGTTTGTGCATTAAAAAAAATATAATTTAATTAAATTTGAAAAACAAAATAAAAAAATGAAATGCTAGGAGTGTTACCACTCCCTATGAAATACTAAAAATTAGGTGTTAAGACAAAAAATTGATGTGACACTTAAAAAAGTGACATGACAAGGTGTTAAATGTGTTACCACTCCCTTTAGCCTTATGCCCGATTTGTAACAACTCTACAAAAATATATATGGCATGTGATCATCAAGTGTTAAGTGACGTCTCAAATTCTTCTCAAGATAAGCCGTTGGTGTGATATAGACCTGTCTAATCTTATTCTTATCCGTGATTTACGTGGTTTTTTATTTGCTTTATATATCAATGGCTCGTAAAGCAATTTTGGAGGTGATCATAGTCACTATGTGGTGGCATTACTTCCATGCAATTATATTTTTATAGGAAAAAAATATTTTATATGTTTAAAAGGTTTGTGTTTCAGAAATAATAAATATATCATATTTTTTATAATAATAAATATAGTTGTATACGTAATTATTTCTGAACCACAAACATAAACCTTTTAAACATATATAAAATATTTTTATTTTCCTTTTAAAGAAAATGAATTGAATATAATTAATGTCATGTTATTTGTTTACCTATTTTAGCATAGTTAACTATTAGCTAATAGACGTTTTTTAATTTTGATTTGAAAAGTTTAAAATTTAATTAATGAATATATTCAAAATTTGATAAAACTAAATATTTTTTTTAAAATTTAAATATCAAAAGTTTATATCGAACCAACATAAAATTTAACATACTTAAAGGTAAAAATATGTTTCGGTTTTGGTTTCAATATATAAGTACGGTAAAATTTATATTGGCTTGATATAAACTTTTGATATTTAAATTTTAAAAAACTATTTAGTTTTATCAAATTTTGAATATATATTTATATTTTATATGTTTATAATATTAACGGTTTTTTTTTTGCAAACTATTTATAAACTTAAGGGTTTTTTCACAAAAATATTTCATGGTAACCTGAAAACCTGCTATTACAGATAAAAATGACAAAACCAACAAAAAAAAATGACAAGTTTGCAGCATAAACGAATCAAAAATCCGTCGGAGGGTAAAACCGATATTTTCGACCAAACTTAAGGCTTTTTATGACATTATCCTTAAAAAATAGTATTGGTATCTTCTTAGGGAGGAGGGAGTCATTCTCTCCCAACCCACTGAACCCACTGTCACAACACTTTTTCTCTTTTAATTTTTCTTCATTTTTTCGAACCCACAACACACGAAAACCCTATCTTTTTGAACTCACCCAACCCACTCAATTAAAAAAAATACAAAACAATCAAATGTAAAATCTTAGGGAGGAGGGAGTCGTTCCCTCCCAACCCACCGAACCCACTGCCACATCAATTTTTGTCTCTTTTTTTTTCTTCATCTTTCCGAACCCACAACATACGGAAATCCTATCTTTTTGAACCCACTCAACCCACTCAATTAAAAAAATACAAAACAACTAAGGTACAAGTTTTAAAACACATGGTACAAGAGAAAATAAGAAAGAGAAAGTAGAGAGATGATGAAGTGGGTTAGTGAAACCAATCAACTCACTCGTTGAAACGGGAGTGGTACCGCCGCTAACTCTATTGCTAATTAAGATTTTACATTTGATTGTTTTGTATTTTTTTTAATTGAGTTGGTTGAGTGGGTTCAAAAAGATAGTGTTTCCGTGTGTTGTGGGTTCGGAAAGATGAAGAAAAATAAAAGAGAAAAAGTGATGTGGCAGTGAGTTCAGTGGGTTGGGAGGGAATGACTCGCTCCTCCCTTAATTAGCAATAAAGTTATTGGCGGTACCACTCCCGCTTCAACGAGTGGGTTGATTGGTTTCACTAACCCACTTCATCATCTCTCTTTACTTTATCTTTCTTATTTTCTCTTGTACCATGTGTTTTAAAACTTATACCTTAGTTGTTTTGTATTATTTTTAATTGAGTGGGTTGAGTGTGTTGTGGGTTGGGAAAGATGAAGAAAAAAAAGAGACAAAAATTGATGTGACAGTGGGTTCAGTGGGTTGGGAGGGAACGACTCCCTCCTCCCTTATAAGTATTAACAATTGTTAAAAAGATGTCTCCTAACCAATAAATTAAGGGTTTTAACTCTCATTTGCCATAAAAAAAAATTCAAGATTTTTCTAAGTTAATTGTTTTGAATTTTTTTTAATAAAATATACAAAATAATCACAAACTTGATCCTTATTTTTCCGAAAAAATTACAAATTCAGTTCAAAATTTCAAATTATTCCAATATTGCTATTAAGTTCTTGTTTTGTTCTTGATATTGTTCCTAATCAATATAAAAATTCAAGTCCAGATTACGACCATTCTACCCTTGTTGCTGCCAAGATGATGGACTACTTAATTTTGGTGATGTCCACGTTTTCCTGTAGTGGCTTTATCTCAATTTGAAAATATGGGTGTGGCTTATTGTGTGCTTGGTTTCTATTTTATGTTTTAGTTGTTTGTATTTTGTCAGTTTGCTGTTGATTTTATTGAATTTATTTATATTTAATTTACTCTAAAAACATAGTTTACTTTTTTTTTAGGAAATTCAGTTTATTTTTTTATTATCCGTTAAGAAAGGCATACAGCAGAGCGCGTGGGTATGGTCGGGAAGGGGAGAAATTGATTGCATGTGGGGCTTGAATTCCCGTTGGATATATTTGGCGTCCACAGTTTCGATATGCCAATCGTCGTGGCACCGCATCATCAGTTTCTAAAAAGCTAGTCGAACATATCTTTTTGAACTTAAAGATAGCGTAAATTACATAAATAACCCGTGTGATATAATAAAATAGAAAACTTTGGTCCAAATTCTTTTTTTTTTCTTTTGGTGTCATTTTCTTACAAATTTAGTCCCTATGTCGTTAAATCCAATTGTTGGGATGTTAACTCTGACCTATCTGTCTGTTTGTGATCTTTACTTTTGCTTCGACAACTGTAGATTTAGCTATGTACGGGTATATGAGTAACACTACTCCTATACCCTAACCCATGGTACTCTAACCAGCATAACACTACTCCTATATATATATATATATATATATATATATATATAGAGAGAGAGAGAAATGATCAAATGAGAACACCAAAAAGGTTGAGAACGCGTAAAAATGTATCATTTCTCCACAAATGAATACATATAATCACACATGAATATACTTTGTTCTCGCGTTCTCAACCTTTCTGGTGTTCTCATTTGATCTCACTCCTATATATATATATATATATATATATATATATATATATATATATATATATACTGTAAAACAGGGTCGGTCCATTGTTTTTTGCTACCCGGGGCGAGTTAAGAATTTTATGCCCTTATATATATACACACACACACATATCGTACGACAGACAAAAGGTATACATAAAAGAATTATAAAATAGAAAACATAGTAAATTATCAAACAAATAGTATAACCAAGAACACAAAATATAAAATGCAGTAAATTTTCGTAGTATGATTTCAAGATCTTCAACTTTGTAATAAGACTTTTGCTCTTCTAGAAGTCCAAATATAAGATTCAAAATTAAAGGAAGTGGGAAATATGGCTCTTGCTTCACATGACATAAACAAGAACACAAAACTTTAGAAAGGAAACCACAAATTTCTGAAACAAACCTA